AAATTGTAAATAAATGGAAAGGAATATTCATAAGTAACTGATCTATAATACTGTATCTTTATTTTCTAAGCCAAATACTAAGTTTCTAAAATAATGTGTAGAAGTTTTAAATATTTGTTGATATAATTTACATATTGTTTAGATTGGTGTATTTTCAATATTACTACTAAGAGGTTCACTTTGATAAATATAATCAGGGCTTCTAAACACTTTAGTTACTTACTTGTATTGTAAAGATTCTATTATTAAGTTTCACCTGAGTTTTTATTTTTAATGAATAAGGACTAAAAAATTTACTTCTAAAATATTTTCTATAATTTGTTTTTCCCACTATTTTTGCATGTTTATATTATAATATAAGTGAGAAACAAGTTCTTCATATAAATTTATCAAACTAATATTTTTGAGTAATATATTTGATAAACAAATACAAATTTTGAACAAAATCTGCAGATTTTACAACTAATTAAGCATATTTAAGAGATCTTTATCAATCTGGATTTTTGAGTCTGTATCTATTAAATGTCAAATATTTAGCAAAGATATTTTAGAATTGTTTTGCTAAAAGTTATAAAATAAATAAAAATGGTGTCAAGATGCTGAGATTTATATCATATATGAAAATAGTTTAATTAATTAATCTGAATATCAGTTAGTAGCTTATATATAGTAATCTGCATATGATCAATGGATTATGAATTAAATTAAAATATAAAAAAAGATAAAATAAAATATAAAAAATAAAATAAAATATAAATAAAAACGAAAATAAAAAATAAAAAAAAGATCAAGGAAAAAAAATGGAAAAAATTAAAAAGAAATATAAGTAAAAAATAATAAAAAAATAACAAAAAAATAAAAAATATAAAAATAAAGGATCAGGGAAGCAAAAAAAAAGGGGAAAAAAATTAAAAAAATAAAAAATGAAAATGAAAAATGAAAAACAAATAGTAAAAATAATAAAAAAAAGAATTAAGGAAAAAAGGAAAAAAATTAAGTAAATAAAAAATAAAAATAAAAAGAAAACAAAGTAAAAAAATAAATAAAAAAAAAATAAAAAAAAGCTACCTATTAAAATAAAAAGTATAAACTTAAATTTTACCAGACTAACCAGTTATCCCATTATGCTCTGATAACAATTACTAAAAGAATTACCATTACCATCTAACTAATAAAAAAGAAAAATATAATAAATAGTTATTACTGCATTAAGAAGAGTGATCAATAATGGCTATATATATAAGAATTTTTGATTAAAGATAAATAATTATACTGTAGGTAGTTGGAAGAAAAAAAAGTATTAGTAAAACTATTTCTAGAAAATTAGTTAGAAGAAGTATAAACTCCTTTCTTTTTACTATATTATGAAAAGTTATGAGAATGTTCTATTGAAATTGTAAGTTTACATTTAGATTTTCAGATAATGTCATAAGTTTAATTAAAAAGAAAATTATAAAAGAAAGAGAAAATAGTATATGTTATAATAGAAGAGTTTGTGAATGTATCAATGATTTTAGAAAAAGAATAAGAAATAATACCTTTAATAAATCAATTAATATAACATTATAGGGGTCAGCTATTAATACCTAAAAGGGATGAAAAAGTAAAAGAAGAGTAGAGACTTTAGAAGAAAAACCAGATCAGAAATATGAATAAAAGTTAGATTTTTAAGTAAATAAGTAAGTTGGTAATAATGTTTGTCATTAAAGGTATAACTATAAGGCATAGCCATAAGTTTCATTAGATAGCCTACAGATCTGATAATTTAATTGATATGGCAACATTATTTTCTACAGATCTGTCAATTTAATTTTCTTTAAATATTTTTGGTTTAGTTTGTTTAATTATTCAACATGTATAAATATCTTTATATTTTTATTAAGTCTCATTACCTTTCTGGTAAAGATAACTAATGAGATATAAATCTTTTAAGTACTGAACTTATATATTAATAAAGAAGTATAATTAACTAAATATAAACTTATCCTTCGCAAACCTTTGAAACTATTATAAATTATTCGTGACTTCTTTGCATTTGTGTAATCTCTTTAGCTATTGTTAGTGATATCTTTAAGTTATCTTTGTGTTTATTTTATGTTTATTTTATATGATTTATATTGAGAATAATCTTTGATATTATTGTAAATCTTTACCCGTAATTCCTTGAGTAATTGTCTTAGTTTTATTTACTCTTTTAAGATTTTATTTAAAGCTACAAAACTAATATAATAGTGAAGATTACTTTTGTATAATTTAAAGATAATATTAGTCACTTAGATATTATATTTAATAACTGCTTGTTATTAATAGGTGATTTTAATTTAATAGCATCTGTATATAAAAAATTATTTAAGTTTAAAATAATCGTAAAGAAGTTTATAAAGATTAGATAAACCTCTTTTAGAGTAATCTTTAATTTTATAATTAGGTGATCTACATTTTCTACAATGTTTGTGTAGTATATTACCCTTGAATTTTTTATTGTTAAGTAATGGCTTTGTTCAAATTTTTCTAAGAATGTGAAATCAATAAATACATATGGTCTTAAATAATATTATGCATTATGTGAAATAAAGCAAGTTTTAGCTTTGATATTAGTTAAAAAATCTTGTAAAAATCTTTGATCTATATTAAAAGGTAAGCTAGTAAGTTTAAGTTCAAATTCTTAACAGAAGGTAGTTTGTATAGGGTTTAAGTTAGTTAGTTAAATTCTTAGTATGAATTTAAGAAAAGAAACAGACTAATAATCATTATAAAAGATTTTGATTAAATCACTATATTTATATATGATAAAGGCAATTTGTCAGAGTTCTCTAATAATCATTAAAAAATATATAATTATACTAAATTTAGAAAAATATTTTTGACTATATCAGATTTAAAAAAAGAGGAATATCTGATATTTTAATTATGTAACCTTTTTCAGTATTGATCTTTAGTTGATTAGCATTAAGATCTGCAATTAAGAAGATCAGATTATACTGTGTTTCTTGTATCTTTGTATCAGCATGTGTTAAATTTTCTAGAGTGTTAAAATAAATGATAAATTTCTATTTTTAGAAAGGTAATTTGATTCTTGAAATCCAGTAAAATAAATAAAAAGTGTATTGATGAAATTTCATTTTTCTGCAATAGATTTCCTTTTATATCAACTGCATTATCAATTACATAAAACTATGTGAACGCAATAATAATATTGAAATATTAATCTTTTATATTTATATTACTTGAAAAAAAAGCTTCAGTTTCATCTACTTTATCAGATCAAGTTTGCTTATTATTTCCTTTAAAAGTAAAAATAATTTTCACTTATTTTGATTTATCAGTATTATTTTATTTTTACTGTTATGCATATATAGAGTCTTTTATAGTGAGAAAGAAAGTTTGTTGTGTTGATTGTTATATTATTTTAGTTGAGTTAGGAGTTGAGAGAATAATATTATTAATATTTATTTCTATAATTTTAGTTGTATTTTCACTAGAGTATTAAAAGATGCTTCTTTTTCAGTATTTTTAGTAAAAATAATCTTTTTGACAATTTTTAAAACATTGTTAGAAGGAGAAGTTTCCATATTTTCTTAAAAAATTTTTTGTTTTTTGTTATTGTTTTTATTATTTTTTAATAAAGTTTATTCACTAGATTCTGTAAAAGAGTTAATAAATTATCTGTTATTATTTCTTTATGATATATGTTTATTTTTATTATAAGGTTAAGAAATATTTTAAGTATAATTTTTTGTTTTAGTTTTTGTATAGTAGGATCAGATAAGAGTTCATGTTGATCTATATATCCAAATTCAATTATTCAATCCAGAGATATTTGAGAAAAATAAAAAACAATTATTTTGAGGTTTATTATAGAAAAATCTCAAGTAGGTGTAAATATTGAAATTGAAGCAAAAGAAATTATCTGAAAAGTAGTGATACTTAACACTAATTTTACTATCTGGGAATCTAAAGAAAGTGAGAAACTATATGTTAATATATAAGAAAATAGGTTACCTATAAGTATTCACAATTAATTATTTAAGTTGCAAATTCTTGAAATTCTTGAAGTAAAGCGATCATGTAATTTAAAGGTCATAGAAATGCCAATTTAATGATAACTATATTTAGTTTTATAAGAGTTTCAAAACATACTAAAATGTATCAAAATTGGATCATAGGATGCTGAATTAGTTTTGAGAGTTGGTAAAATTTTAATTATATATATCATAAGAAATCTTGAGTAGATTTAAAATCTTTTTTGAAGGAATTATTCATGAGCGAATTTGAATTAATTTTCTAGTGATGACAAGATTTGATTACTTAAAGGTAATAAAAAATTATCTATTGTTATATAAAAAATGAAATATGCCAATCAACTATATATTAAGATAGGTCTAATTTTGATCAAATAATACTTGATTAGATAAATTTATGAATGTTTTATTATATAGTGGGGACACAATAAGGCATCCAATAAAATTTGTCCAACTTAAAAATTTAATAAAAAATTTTTCGGAGTATTTATTCAAAATATCTCAACATAATTTGATAGATATTGATTGGCCTTATAATATAATATTGAGATTATTCTGATTAAACAAAAAAATAAAAAATTATTAAGTTGCAAAGTTTGAATATTTTTCTAAGTGAATGAAGATTTGAAACAATAATTTCAGTCTGAATTAAGACAAATTTTTATAATATGGGCCAGATCAGAATCTATAGGCCTGATTGGCTAATTCGTTTGTGCATCCAATGCCTTCCTTATATATAATTTAGTCTACATGCATGTGTATTATCTGATTGGACTTACAAATGCCACATTTAAAACAGCAAAAATAACATTGTAAAGATTTAGCAAAGAAAAGAAAACTCAAAAGTAAGGAAAGTCATGATATCTCTAATGATATTTTAAGTTCAGATGATGGAGATAGCACAGAAGATGAAATTGAATGGATTGATGATCAAATTGAGAATGAGGCAGAATGCTTTTTTTCAGTTTTAATCAAAATATGAAGGTGTTAAACTTATCTAAGCGTCCATTAATATATTTAAAAAATTCATGCACAACCAAATATCGAAAAAAAATTAAAGTATTAAAGGATAGAAAAAAAATGGGCAAACCCTTTATCAACTATTATCTGGCTCCGGTAGTAGTTCTGATAGTAGTTTTAGTGGTGATTCTGGTAGTGGCTCTAGTAGTAATTCTGATAGTAATTCTGGTAGTTGCTCTGGTCATAGATTAGGTAGTAATCCTAATATTGATTTTGATGTCAGCTCTGATGGTAATTTGGGTGATATAAAAAATATACAAGCATTTATTGATACAATTGAAAACAAATTAA